GGAAGGAGGAGTACCAGTCATATTAATGTGATATTAAACATAACTAAATATTACCATTTGCATTAAGTTTCTTGTCATACAAGAGGCCTCCTGAATATTTATTGGCAAGAGGGTCTGCAAGAGGACCTCCTCTGTTTATTACCAGCTTCATAATCAATACCAAGAATTTTATTCCTGGTAGAAAACGAATTTATCTTGTACAGATAAATATATGTAGTCAAAAATGGGTTACCATAAGGCCAGAAGAATCAAAGTATGAACAGGAAGGTGCCTGTAAACTTTCTGAGTAAGGCATTTCTGTAAACTCTTTTATAGCTACAAGAGATGGAAAAGCATAATGAGTTACAGATAAAAGCTGGGGTTTTTAATGTGAAAACATCTGAATATTTACTGGGCTTACAAACCCAACCCCTGCAATGAATTGCAGTTAGGATTTAACTGAACTAAAGACACAGAGCTCACAATGTTGCTTTAAACACTAAAAACTGCATGAGGGAACCTATAAAACACATCACTCGAAAAATAAGATTCCTGGACATGAATTGTCCAAGAGAGACAAGAGCACAGAGGTCAAACAGATACAGACACACAGAATTCACTTTAAAATAGAAGCTGACCTAACCTTCATCTTTCCCAAGGGGTTCAAATGTCTCCTGGGAAGTCTCTGTCTCACAGAACATGCTGTTATTTTCCTCCATCTTTTGCAAGCTTTCTAAAGCTGTGCTATGTTGAGTCAAAGCTCTCAGAAGAGCAATATCATTCACCAGAGCAGGGAGACCTGAGGAGTTTTCAGCCACTCCTCTTTCACCTCTGCAGGCTGCAGGAGGGGTGTTTATGCTCTCTGAGTTTTCAAACTCTGTTTCCTCTGGAGATGAATGGCCTGTTCCTAAAGGATGCACAGAACTTGTGGAAAGGAGAGCATCTTCCTTATGTGACGTGCCAAATACCTGTTGATGGTCTCCTGCAATATACTGGAATGAGCCACTGCCAAGAGCTGATTTTGGTGACAAAGCCAGCAAAGGACTGCCTGGTTTAATGCCATCACTCCTACTCCCCCAGAAGTGTTCTGAGCCAACCTCTGGGGATTCCCTGCATCCAAGCTGGGTGACACCTTCTTCATCCATGGCAGAAGTGATTCTGCTGGGAGAAATACCTGAAACACTTCCAGTTGCCTCAAACAGGCTGGTTTCAGGGTGACATTCCTTAACATTTGTGTCCCCAGGCACAGGATCAGAGTGCTGGTTTCTTATCCGTGGCGTGCCATTAATGGTGAGTGCTGCACAGCCAGCATGATCCTCTTTATTGCTTGGGGCTTCAAGACTTAATTGACTTGCATTCATCTCTTTTATGTTGTGTCCACCACCCAAAAGTTCCACTTCAGTTCTGCTCTGGCTTGCAGGGTCTTCTGCAACCCTCCTGGTATCTCTGACACTGGCTTCACAAAGCTCAGACAAAACACCCCCAGTGCAGTCACTTCCGTCATTCTCTCTGTCCAATGTTGAACATTTGGCTTCATTTTTGCTGTGTGTCACTCCTTCACAGAGGGAATGAGGTCTCAACACAGCATTTGGAGCTACATCCCCTCCCTCAGAGCAATCTGGGCTCTCTGAAAGTGTCTCTCCCTCAGTGGGCTTCTTCACATCTCTTTCACACACTTCTTCACTGTCTGTGTCATTAAAATCAAAAGACTCCATCAGATTAAAGTTAACCTCCATCAGTTCTTCATCTGGACTACACCCTTTGCCATGCAAACTTAACTCCTCCTTAACAATTCCAGCTTCAGTCAATGTTAGATCCCCGGAGAGCTCCAGGTCACTGGGCACTCCCTCTGAATTTTGTCTTGGCTGAAGCTCGCTCTGCATCTTCACAGATGAATTCTCCCTAAGATCCTTAGTCCCTGACTGCTCCCCGTATCCAAAAGAATTGTTTTCAAAGGTGACTGGACTTGCTGAAGGTGAAATGTCATCTGAGGGCGGGACAAACTGGCTGTCACTCATTCCACTTATGGTGGACTCGGGTAGGAAGCAACTATTTGTGTTGCAGGGATCCTGCAAATCTTGACTTAAATTATTTACCTTTTTGTCGTGTCTCTGTCCTGTGGCTTCTTCACCATAAGGCTGTTCAGATGAATTCAGAGGCATTTCAGCATTCCAGTCCTTCTCATCATTTCCAGCTCCCTTCCCAAAAGGCAGGTGCTGAGTGTTTGGAACGATTCCTTTGGCAGGATCACCTGGAAAAGCAGGCAGGGCCGTGCTTTTTGGGTCACGTAAACCTGCATTTTTTGATGCCTGAAACCTGGAGAGACTTTCTGTAAGTGCAGCTGTTTGTTCTCCGTGTCCTTGTGCCGGTTTGGACTTCAGAAGAGCAATGATCTGTGCCGTGCTCCTGATGTTGTGGGACACTGCCCCGGGACCAGTTTGCCCAGTAAGGAGAGGAGATTCTGGCTTCACCAGGAACTGAGCAGAGCTTTGCTTCTCTGTCCCCTCACATCTGTCAAGAAATGGAGCTGGAAGCAGCGAGGAGACAGACACGTGGTCTCTGTCATTGTCCCTACATCCACCTTCCTGGAAGCCTGCAGAGGGATTCGTGTCCGCATCCTCCTTGCGAATCGTGGAAAATAACGGAGAGGTGACATAAAACTGGGATGGAAAAGTCCCCTGGCACTGCTTAGATAAAGGCAACAATGTTGGTTTTTCTTCCTCTTCCACAGCTGGTGTTTTCTTTGCGACTTGGCGTGGCCCTTGGAACCCCTGGGAGAGAAATTTGAAATCCAATCACATTTTGCGATCAAACGTTGAACAAGGGACATAAAAATCTGAAACAAAACCACACCGTAAACTTCCTCTTCAGGCCAACAGGGAGGTGTCTTGGAGGCAGAAGACCAGGTCTGACACCATTTCTATCCACTGCTCTCCTTGGCTGATCTTCCAAAGGTTTTTCACTCGCTTTTGGTGCTTCGACCGTGATCAAATATCGTTCGCTTTCTAAATCGTCTCCAGCAGCCACCTAGAAAGGAGGGAGCAGCAGGGTGCACATAATAGTGCCATGTAAGAGAGAACAACACACAGATTTATTTGAAATAAATAGTCTTTTAAGTGCTTAGATGTAAAAAATTCAGATATTTAGACCCAGTGTATCACAGATGCCATATAGAGAAAGAAATATATATATATATAGACTAGAAAGCATCAGCACTTATCTTCAAGTTATGCTTATTTAATATATCCCTGTAATAACACTGCTTTTACCCCAAAGGAATAAAATTCCATAAAACCTTCTGGACAAACAATAAGACTTGTCAAAAAAGAAGAAGCTGTTTTCCCTTTTCATTAATTCCACTGCAGCAGAGCTTTATATCCACAACAAGAAAAATGGCCATTTTAGTTACCAACCCAGTGTTTGAAGCTCTGCCTGAAACACAAAGCACAGTCAGGCATCCAAATAACAACTCCAAGCAAACTGTACCTGAGATTTTATAAAAATACTCTCCAGGCATTGTCCTTTGTCGTCAAACAAGGTGGCCTGCAATGAAAAAACGGGATTTTAAATAACCAGTTATTTCACAGAGCCACTAGACTGGCACTGGCAGTCCAGCAGTACCAGATGGGATTAAATCCAAGAGTATTAAATCTGAGTTTTCACCTGATTCCTGCCAGTTCTAATCCTCAGAACTCCATCTTGCCACGTTTTCGCTTTTTTTGTCTTTTGGTGAGTGTATAATACCTGTTTTAAACGTGCAAAATGTTGGAAAAATAAGGAGATATTTGAATAATACAGCGGCTGCAGTCTTTTAATTTATTCCTAATAATAATAATAGTACGCAGTGTTAAAAATCACTTACAGTAAATTCTTGAGAGGCCATTGCTTTGTCAAAACAGTCATTTATTTCACAAATATCCACATCTTCACACAGCCTGAGAGGTGGGGAAATGGTCAGAATTCACCAGAGCTGCGAAGGAAATGTGTGGACAAAGAATTACATGTCAGTTCACTTCTGTTTTCCCCTCAAAAGAACTTTTCTTGCAGCAAAAAAAAAAAAACAAAAAAAACAAAAAAAACCAAAAATACCCCAGAAGCTGTTACCAGAATAATTTTGTGCCAGGTGTGGAGCTGGCCATGCATGTTCAACTCATGTAAAACATGAATTATATTTAAAACATAACTGACTGCAGACCAGCCACCCGTGAAGGCAAACCTCTTCATGTATCTAACGTTAGACCGCAATAACACTTAAAATAAAGCTCAAAATAGCCTCTGGATGAGTGAGGAACAGTTTATATGAAGAAAGGGGGAAAGATTCCTGCCGTTTCTTTTGGCTGCCACCTCCTCGGTTGCTTAATGAGGTGAAAATCCATGGAAGTGGACATCCTTGGAGGACACGAAGTTACCACCTTTAAAGCCGCAGGATGGATGCGAACCCTTACAGTGATCGGAGGCAGAATGCCGCGGGAGCAGGGACGTGCAAAACAAACAAACCCACTGCCTCCTTTGCCAGCCCCCCTCGTCCAGCAGCATTCCCTTCAGCGCCAAGGGGGGATTCCATTCCCCGAGGGACCGCGACCGCATCCCCCCACCGGTGACACCGCGATCCTACCCAGCGACCAGGATCAGGACCGGAATCAGGACCAGACTGGGAAATCAGGCCTGGGGATCGGGATTAGGAGCGGGACAGGTGAGTCCCCCGGTGGCATGCCGCCGCCCCTCCTCGAACCTCCCGCGCGGCGCCCCGCGGTGGGACGTCACCCAGCTGCGCGCCGCGCCGCGCCGGGGGAAGGAAAGTCACGTTGCGCGGGGCCGGGCGCGCCCACCCGTCCAGCCCCCCCGCTTGCCGCCGTGCACGCGCGGGCGCGCGCGGGGCCTTTTTCATCCCTTGAAAGGGGGAGGGGGGGCGGTGAACCCAGTAGCGCGACGCGCCGGGACGACGGAGATAACGGCGGTGGAGAGCCGCGGACGGGGCGGGCCCGAGCCAAGTGTCCTCGCGGGGTGGTGGCGGCCGGCGCGGCGGCGACGACGACGGCAGGCTTTAGTGACTGGGAACGGGGTGCAGTCTGTTGGGTGTGGCGACGCGCAAAATGTTGGTGACGGAAGGGGGTGCGGGCCGTCTGTGGTGGTGGGCGACGGCAGGTCAGTGAATTTGGGGTGCGGGGCTGCGGTCTGTCCGCGTGGTGGCGGCGGGCAGTGGGCGCTGTCGCCCCACCTCGCGTGTTTCCGCCGCACAGCATAAAGGCGCGTGCCCACCCCCCTCTGCGCTCAGGTCACCTGACCCTCGGCGGCGGGGCGGGGGGCGGGCCGTCGGTCCCCTCAGGTCGGTCCCCAGCCGATGCGGCGGGCGCCCCTTGCCTCTCAGCCGCAGCGTCCGCCTCCCCGCCCCTTGCCGCCCGCCTGACCCCCAACCGCCCCTCAACCTGCGGCGCCGCCCGCCCCTGGGCATCCTGTTCTCCTGGTGTCCCGCTTCTCCCGGCGCCGGTGGCGCCTTCCGTAGGGCTCCTCCCTGCCCCTGTCCCCCGGCGTCGCCCCGGAGTGCTGAGGTGGCTTGGCCCTGAGGCGACGCGCAGGTGACTCTTGGAGTCAAGGCTCATGTTGGAGGAGAGGATCCTCTGTTGAGAGGTGGGGGGACACGAGCAATAACGCTTTGGGCTAGTCTGCGCTTGCTTTCTTTAATATTTTATCCATACGAGGTCTGTGAGTAATTATATGAGCAGCACCTGCCGATCCCTTTACTTGGTGCCCTTGGAAAAGCAACAGGCTACACAGTACATTGGAATTATCACTGACTGGAGCTATCACTTACTGCAGTGCTAAATGTGTGGTGGTCGATCCTGAGGACAAGCACGATTTAGCCAGTTGCTGGGCTGGCCAATATAAATTAGGGCTAGAAAAACCTGTTTCCCCTTTGTTTGAAGGGTAAAGAAGGTGAGGTTCTCCTATAGATATTCATTGGTTCTGGTAGAATGCAGCCGTAAAAACGGCAGCAGAATGCCTGGCTTTTGTATCCATCTCCATCCCGCTTCCAACTACTTATTCCTGCTGCTTCCTTTCTCCATCTCTGCTGCTTGCTCACCTCTTTAATCGGTTGGTTTTCCCCAGTGGGGAAGGACCAGAATTTAATTTTTAGGTCATAGAATTCACCTGAGTTACCAGAGGGTGAGAACTGTGTAGTAACTAAGGTGAGGGAGCTGGGCTGCCCTTTTGGTGTCATATAGGTGAATCCGCCTATTCCTAACTTGGTGCTGAGGGCATGTGTTTTAATTATAATCACGGAATCATTTAGGTTGGGAAAGACCTCTGAGATCATCAAGTCCAACCTTTCACCAGTCACCACCTTATCAACTAGACCAGAGCACTGAGCACCATGTCCAGTCACTTCCTGAACACAGATAAATCCCCTTTCCACCTCTTATGATGGTGGAAGGCAGGACTGACACAGAGGGGTTTGGAAACAGCCTTAACACTCATCCCTGTGAGGTGGAAGCAAAGCCTTTTCTGTTAGTGAGCACAGAGGTTTCATTAAACCTGTTAAACACCTTATACGTAGTTCTAAAATGATGTGTTGGTTTTGTTGCTTAAAATGGAGGACGAGCAGGAGCTCCAGTGTTTTTAGGTGAAGACATTTGTGCTGGTCCCCATGTATTTATCTCCTGTCCTTTTGCATAGGGAGAAGTTAAAAGGCAGGGTAGAAACTTCATTGCTGCAGCTCTACCTGTGTCTACATTGCTGTGAAAACGTGCCAGGATGTGTCTCTTTTTAAGTAGTTTCAGGTTTGCTGAATACTTGCATTTATTCTGCAGTAAGTGCCCAGAAGGACAAGTGTTGCCACTGACTGTATAGAAACACTTTCAAAGTTTATAAAGTCTTTTGAATTACTGTTTTTCATCCCCCAACTTCACTTGCCCCATTTTGCCACTTAAAATGCCCAAAGCAAATAAGCATTCGCATTAGTGCTTAAAAGAATAAAGTGTATTTTATATCTGCACTCTGCTTCTTACAGACCTTGGAGTACAGTTGAAGTTTACTATGTTTTCTAGATGTTGATAATGGTAGAAGTTGGGTTTGAATACAGGTTAGCACTGACATGTTTAATGCTTGCTTTTTAAAGACCATAGATAAGTTTCTGTAAATATATGTGAGGTTGAATTATTTTTGTTTACGTTATCTTTGCTTTCCTGAAGTTCCTCCCCCCTGCTTAATCGCCCCTCCTTTTCCTTCTTTCACTCTGGGACGTAGAGGCACTGAGGTTTTATTTCACTCGAGGAGGTTCTTTTCTCTATCAGAGTGAAGTTTTGACGCTGCTTTTGCTTCCTTCTGATTTTAATGGCTTATCAGAATAGTGCTGGCAGTGTGAGAGTTGCCAAGTGAAAAATCCAGACTACCACGGACCTTGGCATGTGGTGATTGCCACGTTAATTACTTCAGTTTATGTACATATTAGAGCTGGCATTTACTCTCGACTCTGTGCTTTGAGTATGATTTAATGTTTTAAGTCCCAAAGTGATTTTCTCCAAGCTTCACTTCTAAAGCACCAAGTGAGGGGAAGCCCAGAACGTGGCCTGCAGCTGTTCTTCTTTTAAGCTTGAATGAGAACCTCTCTCCTGGGAGGGAATGGCTCAAAATGCTTCTCCAAACCAACCTCTGCTGTAGGTGAGCCACACTCGTGTTGATGTGGTCACTTAATGCTGTTCAGCCCCTACAAATCTCCCCCAGTGATGCTTTACCATCGTGGGGCACCTCCCTGCAGCCCTCAGCTAAGCAGCCTGCTGGTTATTAATATAAAAAACTTGCTGAAGGGCCCCAGTGGAGCTTGAACTTGCTTAGCTGGGAGTTTTTACCTGGCTTATCTTTGCGAGGTAATTGCTGACCTTTCACTACCTGGAGCTCCCAGCGGGGAGAGAAGCTGATCTCCGGCTGAGGAAGCCTGATTTGCACAATAATTGGGAGACCATTTCCATCTCACCAGCCTGTGGTCGGGGTGGGCTTGTCCTCCCTGATGGCCCTGCTGCCTCGGCACGGAGCTGACAAGTCTTTCATATGGTGATTGTGACATTAATTACTCGAATTTTTGTGTTAATTTAATTTTCCAAAAGCTGTCTGCTCCTGGCAGCATGGGTTTTTTGGGTTTGGGTTTTTTTTTGTGTGTGTGGTTTGTTTTTTGTTTTTTGCACTTGTGAAATAAGGTACTGAAGTTGTGACTGGCAGTTTTCAGCTACAGGAATTGAAATGTGAACAAAAAAATTTAATGAATGCATTAAAGAGGTTTTGTATTTTCAAAAGTAAACCTGTACATTAAGTCACTTCCTTCTAGTTAGTCTTGAATTTCTAGGACCCTGATTCTGAGCTTCTGACATGCTTTGGTTTGCCATTATAATCAAACACTACTGAATTACTGCCCTTGGCAACTGAGAGAGTGGTTTTGCACTTTTGACATAATAAAACTAGTTTTTTAAAACAAACCTGACTATTACCAGACCTACCATAAATACCAGCCATCCCTCCTTTCTAGATTTAATTTTTGTAGGTTCTCTTTGGCAAGTGTCTTGTTTTTCTGCAGAAGATAAACCCAGAATGTGAACTTCTTGAAATAAGACTTTTTTGACTTCTTTGTTGGGTGTTTTTGTTTTTTTTTTTTAATATATCTTTACCTTTCATTTGACAGGATGACAGGAATGGAGACTGAAACAGCGAGAGACAAAGCCATGGAAGAAGAAAGCACTGAACAGAAAAAGGAGAGGGAGAAGAAGAAGAGGTCAAGGGTCAAACAGGTGCTGGCAGATATAGCCAAGCAAGTGGATTTCTGGTTTGGGGATGTAAATCTCCACAAAGACAGATTTCTCCGGGAACAAATAGAGAAGTCCAGAGATGGGTGTAAGTTTATATTCAGTGTATTTCAGTAAACATTTATGTTTCACTTTTTTTCTTCCCTACTTTATAAGTTATTTTGAGGTGCACATATGCTCCTGAGGGAAGGCAGTTGTTCCATGCTGAAAATCGGCATCAACAGCTCAGGAATCAGAGCTGGATACTGCATTTTTAAAATTGTTTAGTGTCTCTTTCCCTTTCCTTCAGAATCAACCATAAGTTAGAGGCATCTGCCAGGTGGAAATGACTGTGTGGGAGACCTGATTTTTCACTTTGCATGATTTTTAAGAATGAACAAACAAAGCTCATTTTGCTCTTGCAGGTAACTTGTCTGGTGGGGTAGATATGTGCAGAAATTAAAATGTCACTTGGGTGCGTGTTTTCTGTAGAAGTTTGATACATAATTCATTGTGTATCTGCCTGTAGGGCTCCTGGGAGTGTCTCCTTCAGACAGTTTTTCCACGTGGTTGATTTGTGACTTCAGAGTAGGAAATTCAGCTTGGACCTCAAGTTCTTTTCCAATTTCTAAAGAAATGAATTTGCACATCAGCTGCAGTGACTGATATGTCTTTGCTTTAAAAATCAGTACAACGTGTGGTAAATTGCCTCTGAGTATAATTGTTAAATCATGTGTTATATCAAATGGACTCACAGTGCAGTATGTCTGGAAAAAGTGGTGACACTTTTCCATCAAAACAAAATAAAATAGGGTTTTTTAAACGTGTTTACTTATTTTTGCTAAGGAGTCCCTGTTTAATTTAAATGTAAATCATTAATCCAGTTGTGTTATGTAGGGAATGTACCTTTCTAAGTGCTTGCTATAGTCTTCAATTATATTGACCTTTAAACCAGTTTGGTTTTTTTTAAAAAAAAACCCAACAAAACAACTCAAACTTCAGGAACAGTTTTATTTCTTGTCGAACCCTTTTTAAAGGATGCCCTTAAATAATTAATAACATAATAAATACATTTTATCCTACATCGTTTAGATACACTAGAGATGGGATGTCTAAATTTTTATTAAGACTAATACCACTTAATTTTCTCTCGAGGTTTTTGCAGCCTGGCTCCTTGCAAGTGAAGAGCAGGCAGGGGCTCTTTGTGTGGGGTTAAACACTCAGTTGAGGACTTGAAGGAGAGGCAGGTTTTCAATGCAAATTGTTCCTTGTCTTGTAAAACTGCATCAGAAAGGGAGGATTTCTTCCTTTCTCTTCAAAGACAACAGTTACCAGTGGGGAGGTGGAAGAACCAAATTCCTTTGATAAAGGTTAGCACCGAAGAAAATGAAATCTGGGTGTACTTGAAACTTGAATTTTGATGGTGAAAATCGTCTGAGTAGAAGACATTACCCTGATTTCATAATTTACACCTTGTTTCTCTTTTTTTTTTCCCTTAGATGTTGACATATCACTTCTTGTTTCTTTCAACAAGATGAAAAAATTAACCACTGATGGGAAGCTGATCGCTCGGGCAGTTAAAAGCTCCTCTGTTGTGGAGGTATTTGGCTTTTCACATTTTAAACGTTTTGACCTTTCTGTGTTTGCTGGTGCTGGAAAAACAGCGGTGAAGGTGCTGAAGTGGGCAATAATCTCACGGAAAAATGCTTATTTCTCCTTACTTTTAGCTGGACTTGGAAGGAACCAGAATCAGAAGACGCCAACCACTGGGTGAGAGGCCAAAGGATGTGGACAGTCGGACTGTCTATGTGGTAAGGCTGGGCTTGTGTGTCCCTCAGGTCCCTCTTACCAACTCTTTAATTAAAATAAATTAAATTAAGAGTGCAAAAATGTATATAGTATTGTAAACTGGGCAGGGGCTGCTGCTTGTGCAGCCCTGTTTAAATCAAATTTGAATTCAGTAAATACAGAACTGCAAGTGACTGTGGGGTCGGTTTGGGACATGGATTTCTTAAATCATTTTAAGTGCTGAGCCAAGAGCTGCTTCACACGCTGGTAAGAAAAGGGACAATTTGATTGAGCCATTGCTCTGTTCACAGGGCTTTTCTTGTAAATGCCATTAGAGGAACACCGGTGGCACCAAGGAAGATTTACTGATTACATTAATATAGTTAAAGCTTTGTAGTAACAACTTTATTAGTTTCATCAGACAGGCTCTGGCTGAGTTTGCAAGTTCATCAGGGGTACTTTAAGAAGTACAATCTGTTTATAAGCCCTGTTACTGCGAGTGCCTCTGGTTTTGTAACACACAAACATCATTCTTTTAAAGCCATAACATACCTAAACTGTTTTTTTTCCCTTACAGTTCTCCTAATTAATTTTTTGTTTAAATTCTCCTATTAGCATGCTGTCCTATGGCTACTTTCCTGGAGTGATTCCTTAATTTAACTGAAAATAGCTTGTGCTGATGGGAGAAGTCTGTATCACTGTGTAATTTCAGATGTGTCAGCTTTATCAGATTGTTGAGCAGCTTCACTGGTAGCTTGGGAAGAGATCTGATGGTTGAGCTGTTGCACATGAAAATTTTGGGCCGTTTTTTAAATAGTAAAGCAATTTTTTTTGATGTTGAATATATATTTTTTTTTTAAATATTGATATTGAAGCCAGTGTGGAATTTCCATTTGTCTCTCAAGAAAGCTTTTTATGACCTGTAGGTGGTAACAGCTGCATTAGTAATTCCTAGCAGGCACCAAGGTTTCTGGGATAGACACACAATAATCATGGCCAAGACACCAACCCAGCCAGATAAGGAGAAACCCAATTGCTCTGATCGTTCCTCCTTTAACAAAAGCCCAGGAAAGGTGGTTGGGTTTTGTTTGTGTAAATACGATGTGCCAGACATAATATTTTCCTAAAGTGATTACAGGGACTGCTTTGAACTTCTCGAACACTTTGCCTTGTATCATTTTTTGGATAAGATACTGTAAATGGCATGAGCTGCACTGTCTATACACAGCTCAAGTTTGTGGCCAAATGTTTGGTAAATAACTGGGATATGGCAGTGGGGACAACAGAAGTGGTGCTGAGTTAAATTTCTCTGAAATAACCTGCCTTTTTTTTTTTTTATATGCTTTAACATAAACATTTACTATTACTTTGAACTCATCCCATAATATTTTTAAAGCTTCGAGTAGCTGGCTTTTCAGCTTCAGACCAAACAATAATGAAATGTTTCCCTGACGGACCAAGTTAATGGAAATACAGTTTTCTACCTGAATGTGGCAGATGTTTCTCTACAAGGAAAACCTTTTAGTGCAGTAACTTGCCATGGGAAAAAAAATGCAGTGCTGACACACTGTTGTTTAGGCAAGAATTTGACAGTGGGATTTTTAAAGTGTTCAGTTGGGTCTTGTTAGAAATTGGTATGACAGGAGAGTGGAAATGTGGAACTCTGACATGATGTCTGCAAGCTGCTGAAATGTGTTGCTGTATTAAGGGTTTTATAGAAATAAAAATCAGACAGTTTTGCCATCCAAGAAGCTGCCTGAAAGCTTCTGTCCCAAGTGCTAACTGCTATATTGGAAAATGTCAGCTTGCAGCAGGAATTCAGCAGTAGTGACTCTGTACTGACCTAGAAGAACTCTTTCTGGGATACCTGCATTGCCACCAATTAACAAAAAATAAAAGTGAAACATTCCTTGTGCTTTGCAGTGGGTAGTTTGAGGCAGTGCAGACTTGTGTTTGCTCCAAGGTCTTAAATTCACCAGGATGTAAGATTTTCATGTTGCAAAGATACACTGCAGGTGAGGTCTTGGTGCCTCTCACAGGAAGAAGGTGAACATCTAAATCAAGTATGGAATGCATTTGTTATAGGGATATGAATTTGTTCTCAGATCACTTTTATCTTTTTTTTTTTTTTAGGAGCTGCTTCCCAAAAATGTCAATCACAGTTGGATCGAGAGGGTGTTTGGCAAGTGTGGTAACGTGGTTTATGTCAGTATTCCCCGGTACAAAACTACTGGGGACCCCAAGGGCTTTGCTTTTGTGGAATTTGAAACTAAAGAGCAAGCAGAGAAAGCTATTGAGGTGAGTGCTGGTGCCTCTGCCCTGTCAACGTTGTTCTTACTGTCACTGTGACATGAATAGTTTGGTCTTTATTAGTTCACCTCCTTGAATCTTTGAGAAATTCCTAAAATGCCATGATTTGTAAACTTGACTTAGCAGGAGTTATGTTCCTGTCTCCTGCTCCCAGACTTCCACTCCTGCTCCCAGACTTCCACTCCTGCTCCCAGACTTCCACTCCTGCTCCCAGACTTCCACTCCTGCTCCCAGACTTCCACTCCTGCTCCCAGACTTCCACTCCTGCTCCCAGACTTCCACTCCTGCTCCCAGACTTCCACTCCTGCTCCCAGACTTCCACTCCTGCTCCCAGACTTCCACTCCTGCTCCCAGACTTCCACTCCTGCTCCCAGACTTCCACTCCTGCTCCCAGACTTCCACTCCTGCTCCCAGACTTCCACTCCGTTCCACAATTCTTTAAAAATTAACTCATTAATAAACCTGGGACTTAACAGAAGCATAATAGGGTTTTTTTTGCAGTAATTTGGTTGGCCACACTTTGCATCTCTTACTGAAATACAGCTCAGTGTGGAACAGTACAGTGGCTATTAAATTTTATCATGCCTAACTTTATGTATTTCACTGTGATTTGAAAGTATTTCTGTACTGGAATATGGTTAGGACTGCTGGCTGTAACTTGGATGGAGAGTCTTTAAAAAGCATGATTTTTAGCCATGGTTTGTTCTCATTTTCCTTCTCTTCAGTTTTTGAATAATCCACCCGAAGAAGCACCACGGAAACCTGGGATTTTCCCCAAAACAGTGAAGAATAAGCCTGTTCCTACACTGAACACAAGTGACAACACTGTAGTAGGTAAGTGTTCAAAGTTATTTGGGTGAATTTTGTGCCTCAGCTGCTGAAGAGAAGGTGGAACTGTTGCTTTCAGCAGGAGCACTCTGTAGAGGAATGAACTTTTTACAGCATCTCTGCATTACCTCTTTGCATGATTCATGATTATTGGGGGGGGAAAAAAAAGGGGATATTGCTGAGAAAATAATCCTGAATTGGCATCTGGGCATGGTTCCAATAAATACAATCTACTGGAATTTATAAAGCAACAGGAGGGGATGATGTTGCAACTTAATAATTGAAACATTTTTCCTGCTTTCCGGTGGTGTAATACACAATTTCCCAGACTTCAGACACTGCCCATCTTTTTCATAAGCTTTATGATAAATCATGTTAATTAATATACCTCACAATTACCACTATTTTTGTTACACCAGTAATGGGGGGGGAATAAAATCCATTTTTCCTGGGGTTTTTTCACTCTTCTTAAAATTCCCAGGGAAAACTGGGGAATAATGTGCTTCTCTCCCAGAGATGCCACTTAAGAACCCAATTTATCATGACGTGGTATCACGACTGTTTAACTTATTTAAGTTAATCCAATGTAGTGTGTCATCATGGGCAGACATAAATATGGTGTTTTTAACACAGAGGAGAAGAAAAAGAAGAAAAAAAAGAAATCGAAAATGAAGAAAGAGAACAATGCACAGGCAGCTGCAGAGCCCAAGGAATCAAACACCAGCACTACAACGGAACCAACACCCAAACCAAAAAGACACAGGACTCCATCTGAGTGTTCTGAAATGGAGGCAACTGAGACTCCAAGGCAGCCCTCCAGGAGGGAGAAAAGGAAATGGGACAAAGCAGACAATTCAGAGGTAACTTGTGAAAGCAGGCCTGGGAAGAGAAAAAGAACCAACTCAGGAGATGGGGAGACAACAGCTCCAAAAGTCAAGAAAACTGCTGAAAAGGATGAAGCTGAACCAGTAAAAGAAGAAATAACAGAAGCTCCAAAGGATTCCAATGGTAAAGGTTGTAGGCTCATATTATTATTCATAGATAAGTGGATATTACTAGGTCATTTTAGGAGTGTGTGGTATTCCCTGCAGTTAAATTTTAACCTGGGGAGGAGTCATTCCAAGGAGAGGAGCTGCATGGAGAATAGGGAAGAACTTGCAACACCAAAGCAGGTAAATCTAATCAGAAGTAAAAAATAGTTCAAAGAAGTTCCTATCAATTAAGTTAAAGGATGTGTTAAACAGCCTTGGCAAATGGAGACAGCATAGGATTCTAGATAAATACATTAAAATACAAAAGGAAAATGCTGATGATCCCAGTTGGTTCCCTGAGATAAAGAAAGCTGCATTGAAATCATGTGTAGTGGTGTGACAAGACTATAAAACTCAAGGTAATTGATGAAGTGCACTGGAAGTCAATAGAAAAAAGCATTTTATTCAGTGATTTTATTAGAACATGTTGCAGTGTTTTATAAATAAACATTTTTTTCTTTTACACTTTTTCATGTATAAGTTTCTGCAGAAGAAGACAAAGATAAAAAAGACACATCCCTTTCCAAAGCTAAAAGGAAACACAAGAAGAAACACAAGGAAAGGCACAAAATGGAGGAAGAAGTCATCCCCCTCAGAGTACTGTCCAAGTAGGTGACATTACCTGGGTTTTAGTGTTGTTCTAAGAGTTGCCCTACGTTCAGTTCTGGATATGGCTGTTATTTGAGTATTGCAAATTATTTCATGTATTATTTTACTTCTAAGTAGTACTGTATAATTACCTCGGGTATTTAATGATCAATGATTTTGATTTTTAAGTATTTTCAATATTAAGGTTTATTTTCCTGCTAATATCTCCTGCAGTAGAATTTCTCAAATTTTTCATTTGCATACTTTATTGACATCGATAAATTAAATACAATTACAGATAGTAATGTTGCCAACCCTTGGAATAAATTTAATTAGGCTTCTTTAAATCTATGCATGTCTGACAGTCCAACACCATTGCTACAGTGCAATTCCAGTTGTTAACAACAGAGTTACACATTAGCAACAGTTTTAGCCTGCAGATTGAAATTCCCATGGCTCTCTGTAAAACACAAATTATTTCAAATCTGATGAGACTCTTTTAGTCACCACAACTAAAACATGGAAGCACTTACTTTTTAATCATCCAGCAAGTACCTCCAATGTTAAAGTCGAGGGGGTCCTTGCCATCTTGGGCTGTACCGTGATGAAAATTGTGCTTTATGTATAAACACATTTGGTTGGTATTGTTATTCGTTTTTTTAGAGGGAAGTGTTGAGGAAAAATAAGGATTCACCACCACTATAACATGGAAGCACTTACTATTATTTAAGAACAAAGCAAGTACATCCACATTAAAGTTGTGGGGGTCCTTTGATGTGGAGAAACTAAATGATAACTAAAAAAACCCACCCCAAGATAGATACTAAGTTTTGACCATGCAATAAAATACATACATGCGTTTTATTTGAGAATCCTTGGAATATTAGGATCCACCGCCACTGAAACATGGAAGCACTTACTCTTTTAGGCAGCAGGTACCTCCATGTTAAAGCAAAGGAAGTCCTTTAAAATTCAAAATGAACTTTTGCCACTTTTTAATTTTTGGTCTTGAGGAAGATCTGCTCCCGCGAAGTTTTCCATCTTCTTTTTCCCGAATTTAAGAATCTTTAATCCGAAGTGTAGCCCAAAAAAAAAAAAAAAAACCAAAGGGAAAATCCCAGGAGAAGTTGCAGGATTGCGATCAGGATTCACCTCTACTAAAACATGGAAGCACTTACTTTTTCTATATCACAGAAAGCACCTCCATGTTAAAGTAAAAGGGGTCCACACACACACACACACACACAAAGACAGTTATTGACGGTGCTTGTCCTCTTTGATCAGGATTCCGAGCAAACTAATACAAATAAAAATTTGAGTTAAATTTTATTTTACTGTAGCAAAAGAAAGCAGTAAAATAAGTTTGCAAACAGAGCACAAGCATTGCAAATACTTACCTATTGGAGTCCCCTTGGGATCTTCTTCCTCGAGCTCAAGCTCGGCAGCTTGTATTTATACCAACCCTACCAGGGCATGGTGTTGCCTCTTTATCTCCAAGAATCATTACGTGGGCCTTTTGTTATTTTAATGCCTTTGGCTCTGCTGAGAATGTATGATCCTGGGTGAGTCTGGATCCTTTTTTTTGGGTTTTTTTTTTTTGAAGTATACAGTTGTCACCGTTAACAGCTAAAACCATTACCCCAAGATATCCTCCTCTTTAAAAATCCTCTATCAGCTCGTTTGATAGCACAGATTAGGGTAACAATGAGTCGTTCTCACAGTGGCACCGCGGGCATTGTGTTGCCTCGGAGCAAAGCTCTCGCCCTGTTTGCAGAAACATCTCCATGTTAAATGTATGTAAATATATAAATTGGTGCCATGGGGGGGAGTAGTTTTTCACCAAAATGCATTTGAATAGTAAGGAATGTCCTTATCTCGGCGGGGTTCTGGTGGGTTTAACCAGCTGTTGATTTTCCATCAATGATTTTTCCAGAAAATAAATGAGTGATTCTTAATATAGTGACCCAGGAGCGAGTTCAGTGAACTAATTCAGGGAATTCAGACTTTACTGTCTCTGAATTAACTCTGAGTTCGGTGCCTGTACTCTGTGTAGTTCCAGTGAAAAACACAAGTTTACCAAGCTGTTCTACATGCTGTCTGAATACTTAAAACAAATTTGGGAGTCTCTCCGTTGGATTGATAGGTTGGTCCTGTTGGAACTCTCTTGGCTTATCAAATCGAGAGCAAAATAATAAAAAAATTGGATATGGACAAGGTTTAATTTGACCGAAGTGCAGGAAGATCTCTAGTGGTTTCAACTGTTCACCGAGTCGGCCTTAAGCTGTTTGTAAACTCTTCAATTACCATGAAGTTTCTAAACACAGTTTTCTTGTTTACAACTGCTGTGCCTGTGCGGCCTCTTACAGGACCGAGTGGATGGGACTGAAGCAAGAATATTTGGCCCTGCAGAAAGCCAGTATGGCCTCCCTAAAGAAAACCATGTCTCAAATCAAACCCGAGCCCGCGGGGGAGATGGAAACGGAATCCTGCGCCCAGAAAGCGGAAAATCACAAAAGTAACCCCGGGTTTTGTTTTCTTTTTCATGTTTCTACTACACCAACACAAGGGATCCAAGACACTGATCTTGCAGAAATGCTGCCACGTGGTTTTATGTTCTGAAATGCTGGTGCTCTCTCTGAGTGCCAAACACTAAAAGCAACGTCCCCCCTGTATTTAGATACACTGGGGACTGAGGTGCTTTACAAATAAAGACCAAACAAGCCAATTCAGCATATTCCAGTAGCCCTTCTTAAGCTTAAGGATATTTTTAGGTAAATGTAATTTTAAAAGCTACAGAGGTAAATCAGGAATCAGCTTTTTTGAGACTACAGCTCGGGCCTGGTTTGCTTTGGCTTAACTGTACCTGCAGTGATTCACAAAACAATTTCATTTAAAAAAAAAAAAGCCATCTTGCAATTGGGCTTTATCTGCTTTATGATTAAGAGGAGGTTTGTAATTATGTCCTTATATTAAAATTTCTACCGTTGTTGGATATAGAGATGTCTGTTGTTGTGAGTTTTCTTTGCTTCTTTTCACTAACTTCAGCACTTGTGTTCCAGTGCCTGTCTGCATATTTTTGATTGCTCTAAAACTGAGGGTTCAACTATTAACTATAATCAATAGAATATAAAATATTCTTATAAGGACATTGTGGACTATAAAAACCTTTTTAATGTTCTTTTCTTGATCTTTCTTTTTTTTTACTTACATTGACTTTAACCCGTGGACAATCTTGACCTTGGTTTAAAAAACCACAGCTTACCTGCACTAACAATATTCGATGCTTGTTTACCTTATGTTATTTCTGCGCTTGCAGAACTTGAGTTTCTCAATTTAACAGACTTTAAAACTTCCTTTTGGTGTTGTTTTTTTTTTCCCCTCCCTGTTTTTAACTCGAGCAGCCACCAGTGAAGACGGTGCCCCTCCTGCCAAGGCCAACACAATGGGGCCTCAGTTCGTCAGCGGAGTAATTGTGAAGATCATTAGCACCGAGCCCCTGCCGGGCAGGAAGCACATCAAGGTAATGCCTTTGTAACCTCAGGGAAGCTCTTGGCCCTTCCTCTCGCTGTGCCCCCCAAATGTTTGAATATGGAAGAGCATTTAACCCGGGCTGGCTGAAGGTTTTTTTATCTTTTTGGCCACTAGCTGCATACAGATTCTTGTCTACTACCTGTGAACCAGAGATTTTAGGAGGGCAAAATAGGCTCAAGGGGATGTTTCAAAGTGGAAAAAAAGCTTTGGGTGTGCTGGGAGCAATGTCAAGTTTATAATGAAAATATGGACAAAAATAAGGAGCTCTTTAGTGCTTCCCAGTTTAACAAAAGTTGGACACAAATACAGAACTCTGCATCAATCACTGTGCCAATTATCCTGACAAGAAACCCTTAAAAACATTTCTTTAATTAATATAAAAGTGTATATTTTTTTAATTCCAGTAGCAGGAATTAAGGGGCAGGAAAATGCTCTCTCTCAAAAAAAAACCCCACAATTCTTTTTCTTTTCCCAATAAGACCTTTACAGTGACAAATTCCATTTCAGTAGAGCCTGTCAAATCGGTCACTTTTTTTTTCCTCTGCCAAGTGCTGTTTTTCCTCTTGAAAAGTGTCTAAGATACCTTCCATTTGGTGTGATGTCACCATACAAAAGTTACACGTGCTAAGCAGAATATTTCCTTTTAAGGAAAATACCAGTTTTAAGCTGCATCCTCTTGAAATGGAAATATGAAAAGTTTTCCAAAGGAAATAACAGCGTTTTTCCAGATACTGAAGTTTCCATGTATGACACAGGACACTTTCTTACACAAATTGCACTTCTGGATGAATAACAACTGGAAAGAATTTGAACAACTCGATATCCAAAGCACTTAGGTCAGTGGTTCAAATGGTTCAAAAGGGGAGTTCTGAGGTGATTTCTCAAACGATATTTATAACTGAGGAGGCCATTTCGAGTCACTGGCAAGTGTGTGAGGTTTGTGTGCATAAACCTAAGCAAGAGGAGAGACTCTCACCCTGAAAACCCAGTGATGGTGGGGTTTCAACTTAATCGGCCTTATCTGGTGTATTTGCAGGCAGTTGTCTGAGTGCTGGAGACACTGAGGGAATGTGGCAGTTGTCCCTGTAACCTTTGAGGGCCCCCTGGACTGCAGAATAGACTTCACTGTTAAAAGTTTGTGTCACACCCTAAGGTGCTGTGGGCAGGAGGAAAACTTACTATTCAAATACCACAAAACTAACTCTTTTTTTTGGAATTTTTTTTTTCCCTTGCCGTACTGGTTACATAACTGTTGAAGGAAGAACTGCCACCAAACCTGGCTTTGCTGTGTTACTGGACCATCAGCTGCATAAAACTGCCACAAATACTATTTCCATGTTTTAATTTTATTCTTCTTCCCTGTTACGCTCTTAAGGTGCTTCTCAGAGCTGCTCACCTTTGCCAGCTCCAGTGAACTCTTTGGTTCCTTGCAGTTTTCCATGCAGTCATGACTTTGGGATACTGGGATGAGGCTGGAAAGCAGCTTTTGGTGGCTCTCAAATGATCTTAACAGCGCTGTCACTTAACCTTTGTTTTTTGTTTTAAGGCTGCCCTCGGTAGTGGAGGGTTAAAAGCAGTGTGTGGTTCCTGAATGGAAGCATCTTAGTGGAGCTGCCTGCTGGGAACCAAATTGAGTAGGAATGTGTGGTGGTGCTTAATTTCCCTAACAGCAGGAATTACAAGTCAAGTACTTCATCTGCAAGAACATTTGTGACTCCTCTTCCTTTAGCTGTCAGTGAAAACTATCAGGCAGAGGTCACTTCATAAAGACAGAGTTGCTTTGCTACTCATTTCTCAGATAATCTGCCTTGAATGGGCTTGGTTTTATATATTTAATGCGTGCAATAAAGTGTTGGGGTCGACACTGTGGTAGTATGCCAATAATTTAACTTCTTAGAAAAAAGTCAGATACAGTGTTGAAAAAAAACCCAGATAATTACTGATGCTCCTTTTAGTAAAATGATACCAACTTTTTCAGAAATTACTGCTTTAAGTTGTTGGATGGCAGGAGGAGATGGGTAGGTGTTGTAGGCTGGTAAATCAGAATTCAGGTATAACCTCCTTAGGAAAAACATATTAACTCCAAACTATTTGACAAGAGGTTGATGGATTAAACGACAGAGTTCAGCTACTGCCTCCTACTTTTTGAAAATGTTAATGACCTCCAAATGGAATGGTCAAAAGTCACTCTTTTTATTGTATTCTCCTTCTGAAGGCTGATTTATGGTGTGTGTTCTCCCTCCTGCTTTGCCAGGATGCTCTGGCAGTGCTGGCTGAGGTGGCTTATGTTGACATGCTGGAGGGAGACACGGAATGTCACGTCCGCTTCAAGACTCCCGAGGATGCCCAGACTGTCCTGAAATCCCACAAAGAGATCCAGATCAAAAACAACTGCAAATTCGAAGTTCTCACTGGTAAGACTTTGTTGGCTTTTTTTTTTTTTTTTTTTTAATGTGCAGGAGAAGACCGTGGAATAATTACTGTTGAAAGGATCGTTTCACCTGCTGGCTTTAGGGATGTGTTTAAATATCTTGCTTTCGGGAAAAAGGCTGCTTGGTTTTGGGGGGAGTAATTTTACAATTAGTGAAATGAGTAAAACTCTAAGGGGTTTTATGTCACTGTTCAGAGAAAAATTAACTTTGCTTGCTGTTAATTCTGTTAGGGTTTTTTGACTGATTTACTTCACTTTCAGTGGAAATGCACTTAATTCACGTGTCAGCTTTATGAATAGAACATTCTGATGATGCAAAAAAATTTTAAAGAGACTTAAATACTGAACTCATGTGTGAAATAACAAGAAAAGGGTCCAACAGCATGGATACACTTGGAGTGGGTTTAGCACTTACCTACTAATTATCTTGATTTTTCAGGAAGTTGGGTAACTTAGGCCAGAATAAACCTTTTTCTTAATTGTATTTACACAAAAATTTCCACTGGCTCTACTTTGGAACTTCACTCTAATGTGTATTACTTCTTTCTGAAATTACTTCGAGTCTCGGACTGGATTGGGTTAGTTTTCCAAGTGTAGAAAAATCTCTCTATGGAATTGAGAGGTAGAAAGAAGAGCAAGTCTCTCACAATTAAACTTTTAAATTCTAGACATGCACTAAAAATTCTAAATGTGCAAAAAAAGCAGATTCCCTCATCTGTGTATTTGAGATTTTACCCTGCTCCTACACAGACCCTCACTTGAAGTCCAGTTTCATGAGTGCAGGGATATAAACTCCCCAAAAAGTCAATTCAGGATTGCAGAAGGCAAAGCTTTAATAGAAGCATCAACCTTCGTGATAATATCGAAGTTAATTCACGTTTAAGACTCAGTGAATGCTGTTCATGTCATTTGGGCTTAGATTTGTCCCCAGTGTGTTCTTTGCTCCAGAGATCCAGAAACAACTCTAAATTTTGGCTTTTACAGCTGAGTGCTCTCAGTTTGTCTCTCATTGTCTCTGGTTTTGTAGTCTTTACATAAAAGTGTAGTAGGAGATTAGGAATAAGTACTACATTGTAGGAGCATTCTATTCATAGTATTAAGATTTATTTTTTTTTTCTCACTGGCTCATTGAAATAAGAATGGAAAAGCTTCCCAGGAAAGCACAAGGGACTCCCAGTAAGGATTTTAGTTTTCCTCCCTGGCCTAAGGTGAGAGAATAAGAATAAGGAAGGAATCTTTAATGCTCCCTACTGCAGGGACTAAATCTTTCCCAGTAATATTTTAAGACTTGACTACTGAAGATATTCAGGTGAATATCATGTGAACATGATCATAGATGGTTCACTTTTGCAGGAATATATTTGGGAAGCTTCCCTGTAGGTGAACCATGAGACCATGCAATGTATCACAGAGTTCCCATTGTGGTGGTTACATCCCAAACCAGAGGGAACAGTGGAAAACTGCAACTTAACTGGGAAAAGCTGCACAGTTATTTGCCCTTGTACTGCTGCCCCTGTTCAAATATTCCTGGCAGCTTATGGAGTCCCCAGGCAATGGTTTTGATGGAACAAAACAGTCTCAGTTGTTCTTAGAGTAATTACACTTTTTTTTTTTCTGTTTGGTAGTTGTTTTAAAACGAGTCAGAGGTTGAGTACATGAGTAAATCAAAGGGCCTCCGTGTGCTGTGGTGAAACATCAGCTAAAACTCACCTCCTTTTGCTCATGACATGTAGAGAAGAATTCTACAGGACTTCTGTGACCAGGAAATTTTAAGATTACTGGGGAAATATTTCCTGGGTTTCCCTAACAGGTATTTTCATGTGTGAAGGCTGAAAACAGTACATTTGTTTTTGTCCTACTTCTATTCATGTACCTCAATGTTATTTTTTCTGCAAGGTGACAATGAACAACGTTACTGGCAGAAGATTTTAGTGGACAGACAAGCTAAACTAAACCAACCTCGAGAAAAGAAGAGGGGTACTGAGAAGGTAATGTGCAACTCAGATCTCTTTCCTGCATAGCCATGGTTAAAAATTGATTCTATTTTTGCATGATTCTATTTTTGCACAGATCCATAATTTTTGATACTTTGTGTATTTAATTCAGTTAAATCATTTTGCAGCAGAGTTTTACAGCTACAAAGGAGAGAATGTGTGTCTGTCCCAGTCCAGTTGACAAGTGGGGACAATGAGAGAAAGTTAAGTGTGTGTCTAAAAACCTGAAGCTAATTTGAAACTGGATTTCTTTTCAGACCCTCATGGAGAAGTTCAGTAGTCTTGATGTGCTCCAGTGAAATCAAGTTTAGTGCTGTACTGATAATACTCTACTCTGATGCAGAAAATGGTTTTCTTGAGAATGAATCTCCTTTTCCTCACTGCTTCCCCAGTTCTATTTGTGCAGTTCTGAGCTGTGATGAATGCTGGCAGGCATCCATAGCTGTACAGCTTCCAGATCCCAACTGGGAAGTTCCTTTTCAGCCCTGACCTTGGGGTGCCTGTCAGGCTGCAGGGTTGAGGCAGTGTTGCAATGAACCTGCTGGCTGCAGCTTCCACTCCTGCCACAGGAGATCCTTCCAGGCATGAAGGGGTTCCTTGATTAAACCAGTCAGATCCTCCACCTGACAGAGAGGAGCCAAAGAGTATTTCACAGACCTTTTTATTGCCAGGTTTGCTTCACACACACTGCAGATAAGGTTTCTGGGTTGGCTTTAACCTGAATTTTTCTGCTGCTGCTTGCAAAACTTCACAATCATCTGACCTTAATTATTTGCTGGTGACTTTGGAGACTCTTGTTTCCTGGACGCTGGGGGGGGAGAAATTACATATGTAATTGAAAATAAATACTTAATTGACCTAAAGGAATAGGGGTTGTACAGGTCAGAGTCATGTTGGACATGTCTTACCCTGTTTGTCTGAATGTTCTTCCAGAGATCCCATAGACTGATGAGCAGAGTTCTTTTAAACAAAGGTGTGCATCAAGAACTTGCCCAAAGGTCTGATTTAATTTTCTTAAAAGCCTAAAGATGGCATTGACTTGAACCATTTTTCTTTAATATGACTAGAAAGGGAATGGGAAAGCTCGACAACTTTGGAGCATTTTACTGAATGCTGCCATTTTTTTTTTATTTTTTTTTTTGGTTTTAATGTGCTTTTACTTTTTTAAACCAAAGTGGCTCCTTAGACTTTAATTTAGACTTGCTCTCAAGTTTCTACTCTTCCATCTTTTGAAGGCTGGGATTTGTTGACCAAACCGGTGTCAATTGGGCAGTAATGCACCTCATCTTGGCCTGCAAACACAAACTGTCTCGGTCCTGCCTAACAAAGGCAGCACAGGGATGCAAACTCCTGCTCCTCCCCCCTGCCCATCACCTTGCCCGCACCGGGAGGTGTGAACTTCAAAGCCCGGGGAATTCTATTTAAATGCTAACACGCTGTTAAGCAAAAACATCAAGACAAGAATGCCTGGCTGCAGTCAGTGGCTCTTAACCCTTTCCTTGCTTTTGGACAGGCTATATTCCCAAAATATCGACTGATAGTATTAAGAAGTGTTTAATATTAGAAAATTCTTCCTTAGTGCTTACAAGGTGACTTCTTTTGGAGCTCGCAACAAAAAGAAGTAAAAAGTAATTATTCATAATAAAATACCTACAGCAAAATATGCCATTAATGTATCTTTCTTGTCAAGGTCTATTCTGCCAAAAATGTTTTGAAACACCTTACCAGACCTCAAAGATGGGTGTTTGCCATTTAACTGCCTTATGCCTGGAATTAACACATCATCTTATCCTTTCTTTCAGTTGGTGTTGAAATGATGGGGTGCAGTCCATGCAGTGACTGCACACAGCTTTTGAGCTGAACTTTAGGCAGTTAAAAAAACATGGAAAAGAGCAATTGCTAAGAAGTAGAGGCATACTCTCTTCTTCCCCTGGGATAAGGGTTAAGGATAACTTGAGCAGATGTCTATAATAATGCTCACCCCCAAAACTGATTAGACCAGATTTAAGTAGGGATTTTACTTTCTCTGGCATAGTTCTTATAATGAACTAAATGTCCAAAAGAGATATTCCCAAGGTTCCCCAGAACTTGACTAAGGCCTGGCTGTCTTTGGAGTGAAAAAGGTGTTCAGTGTCAGGCTTTCCCCTGCGTCTGGTCCTTCATTGCCACCCCTCTGCTTCCCCTTCCAAATCCATCTTCCCTTTGTCTGTGGCTTTACTGCCTTGATAAAACCACCTCGGTGATTTACTGATGGAAAACCTTCCTGCCAGAACTGCTTTTTAGGGCAGTGCCAGTTTATTCAGACCTAAAGCAATCCATCAGTCTGCAGCCTTAAACTCCAGACTGATTGGAGTCTCCCGTTCCCAAAGCCAAGGAGTGGAGTGCCTGCAAGCTTTCCCCTTGGATCCTTGTCTCCCAGGGGGGGGAGGAAAGTCCTTTGCACCTTGTGCCCCCCTTTCCCAGAGGGAAGGAGGAAGTTTAAGAGGGTGGGAGGGGTGGCAGAAGTGAAAGGCATTTGGTGAGCAGGTGAGAATTGGGTATTTGTGAAGGGTGGCATAATTTACAGGATGTATGGAAAAGAAGGATAGTGGGAATGTCTGGGTACAGCCCACACTGTTCTCTCCTGATGATGCCTGGGGGTCCAGGGCTGTGTCCTTGCAAGGCTGGGCAATTCCCTGTGTGTGGGCCCATTCCAGAGCACATCCCCAGTTCCCTGGCTCTGTGACACTGGTGTCTGTGGAAGGGCTGGAGACCTGTTAGACAGGATTAGTGTGCTCAGATACAGGCCCTGATCCTGGACTGATGAGCTCAACACTGGAATTCTTGAGACCTCTTGTGAGCTCTGAGGCACTGGTATAAAACCACTCACTGGTATGAACTGGGCAGCTCACATCCTAGAACTTCCCTGGTTTGGAATTCTCCATCCCATATGTGGAATGAGTAAACCACTGTACACTTCTTAATGTTAAACTCTTCTAGCAGTTTTTTTTGTGTTAGGTATCAGAGAGCAAAAGTGACCCTTGGTTAGATCTTTAGATCAGTTGTATTCCTTTCCTTCTGAAATCCTGGCTGCCACAATCAGAGCAGCAGCATCCTGTGCACTTGAGTGCTGTCTGCAGGCCACAGGCATGCAGAAGGAACAAATCATTTGATTTATATGTGAGATTTTACAAATCTAGCAAAGTGGGGCTGCCCAGTGAGCAAATGCCCCCTCCCCAGAGCAATACCTGATATATTTGAATTGTCCCCAGCACAGAAGTTACTGTGGGGTTTTTCTGTTCATGTTTTTTTTTGTTTTGGTGCTTGTTTTTTTTTCTTTTGGGGGTTGTTTTTTGTATTATAGCTGTCTTGTTTTGTTTGTTTGTTTTTATGTAGTTCTGTGTCTTTTTGTGTGGTGTGTGCCTGCATTTCTGTGTGGTTTCTTGTGGTGGTTTGTGGTTTCTGTGGTGGTTGGGGTTGTCTGTACGTGCCTCTTGAGTGTGGGGTTTGTATGTGCCTTTGACTATATTTGTCTATTAGGTTTTTGGGGTGTTCTGTGGTGTTGGGAGACTTATGCTAATTTTTTTCTTGTGGGTTTGTTGGGTTTTTTTGGGGTTGTTCAGTGTTGGTGGTGTTTGGGGCTTTTTTTTTTATTTCTAGAGAGTTTGGTGGTTTTTTGGGGGGGACTGTGGGTTCTGTATGTGCCTTTGAGTGCATTTGTGGTGTTGGATTGTGTGGGGTTTGTATGTGCCTTCAGCTATGTTTTTGTGCTGGTTTGTGGGGTTTTTCCATGTGCCTTTTTGTGGGGGTTCTTGTGTTGATTTGTGGTTTCTGTGGTTTGTGTGTGTGCATTTTTCTGTGTAGATTTGGGGGTTTTGTGGGTTTTGTGTGTGAGTTTGTGGTTTCAGTGTGTTCCATGTTTTGTGGCTTGTGGGTTTTTAGTGGGTTTATGTGTTTGTATTCATGGGGGGGGTTCTGTGGATTTTTTTATTTGTGTGTGTGGTTTTTCTGTGCTTTTATAGTTGTTCTTGAGTGGTGTGTGTGGGTTTCTGTGTAGTGTGCTGGAGACGTGGGGGTTTTTTCCTGTTTAAAATGCCACAATATTCCAGAAGCACTCCTTTTGTGGCCTGACCTTGTTTTTCCTACATCTGTAACAAAATAAATCCAGTAAAAGGACAGAGGTTTTTTTGCTTACTGTGTGAGACTGTATTTTAGGATTTTAAAATGAATATTTTGTCCTCTTGGACCATGTTGGGAGGAAGAAGGGATGGAATGAGAGCAACTGCTCAGCAACTGAAGAGACACTTTTATTTTGCATGATTCTGAGGCAGCACTGAATTTATATCTTATATATCTGACAGATATCCAGCTTAGCTCAGCTGCTCAGATGAGCTTTTTCTTAGGAAGTCTGGTAAACCAGTGAAGAATATATCCATGACTGGAAGATCAAATCCTAAGAATATCCACTTTGCTCTAATTTTCTGTGATATTTTCCCTGTTTGCAGTTGATTGCCAAGGCTGAGAGGATGAGACTGGAGAAGACTCAGCAGACAAGCAAACACATTCGCTTCACTGATGACAACTAACCAGGACTGATGATCTTGGAGTGTGAACTGCAGGTATTTCAAACAAACCTACCAAAAAAAAACCAGCCCCCCCACAGCCACCACTGCTTCCAGCAACTAAACCCGGGCCCCCGGAGCCAGAACTCTGCAGACTGCAAGTGTGAAGATGGGTCTGAACCCCCATTTTTGAACAGGCTGAATGTTCACTGCTTCTGAGCCTTTCTAGGTAAAGCTTTCTGGAAAATGTGTATGACAAGATTTTTGCTTTAGTTCACTTCTGGGGTTGTTTTTTTTTTGTTGTTGTTGTTCTGTTATTTTTTTTTGTTTGTTTCTTTGTTTGGAATTTTTTTTTGTATGTTGAAGTTTTATACACTAGGTTATAAAATAAAACGCTTGAGAAAATTTCAGCTGTGTATCTCTAATTCTTCCATTTGCTTTATGCCACCATAAATAATAAAAGTGGTTAATGCTGCATAAACCTCTCTAGGCCTCTCTTTAGCCCATCAAACTGTTTCAGAGTACAGGAGAAAAATGTTCCCTGTATTTTCAGTTGGCTAAGGCTGTCGGGAAATCTGTCCTGGAGAAGTCTGGGAGAAAATTTACTTGTATGAATACACACTAAACTGAATTCAGCTTCTTTTTTTTATTTGTTTTAGAAGAATCTTCGGTGGAAGAAATAATATCTTTGTTTGATACCTGTGGTTGCCTTAGCTCCAGAAGTGTAGTTCTCACTTGCAGATAAGTGTTAAAAGTCGGGTAGTTCACAGTTTAAGGTGGTGATTTTAATGGCTTTCAAGTATTTCATGGGAGACTGGCAATATTTTAGAAATCCCTGAAGGTAAAACTGTAATTCTACACGAGGCTGCACTTGTGAGTGACTCAGCCCTGCTGGCAGGGAGGGAGTGAATGGAGGGGATTAGCACGACTCAATGGAGAGGGAATAGCAGCGATCAGGCTGGAGATAGCGGGAAAACAGAGGGGAAAAGTGCAAGATAAGGGACAAACAAAAGGGCTGGAAGGGCTGGAGGGGAAGAGCTTGCTGATGGTTCTTGGAAATGGTGTGTGGAGGATTCCTCCCAGGGGAAAGGTGGGGGAAGGCTAAGAACTAACCCGGGTGCCAGGCACTCCCCTGTGCACTCCTGCAGTATTCAAGTGTTTGGTCCAATCGCAGCATTTTTTATTTATTATGATCATTTAATCTTGAACTCCTCCCATCCTAGGTGGGTAGGATATTTGATGACACATAAAAAATCATTTTCATACCTACCTATGAAAAGATATGATCCGTTATTGTGGTTTTTTTCTCTGCATCCTGCCTAAAAGACAGTTTGTTTTCCTTTTCCATTTCTGTGATGTGAAGGGGAAAAAATAAACCCGAAAGCCTGCTCTGGGTAAAATGTTTGGGATTTTGCTGCTGAAGTTCATTTGAGTCAAAAATATATCCGTGTTATAAATAATTCAGCTCATAAATGATTCAGACTTTTTATGTGTGGTGGAGAGTGGAACTGAACTGCAAAAGCCTAAGTCTGGGAGTTATTGGTCTTATATTAATATTTTCTGACTTTAACACACAGAAGTCACCAGTCTGTCCCTTTCCACATCTATGCAGGTTAATTCCTTACACTTCAACATGAGTTTTCTTTTTCTCCTCTCCCAAACTAGTGCAGCAATCTGCTTCAGCAGGGAAGGACAGTCCGTGTTTATTACTTCCTGAAGAAGTTAATGACAGCATTTTTGCTCTTAATTCAGAAGTCAGGAATGGAGAGGATGGTCTAGATGCTTTATCAAAACAAAACCTTGGATTCTCAAGGATGCCAGAATGGTTTGTGTGGTTTTTTTATCTTTAAATACATGTGACAGTTAATTTTTGCTGCTGTTATCCCTCCCCATCATATGCTGAGGAGCCCAGCATATGATGGAGTTTTACCCTCTCAACAGTTGCATCCCTAAAAATACTTCATATTTCACCTCTAGTAACTTCCCACAGTGACTCTTCCCTTTTTTTTTTTTTTTCCCCAAGAAATACACTTTACTTAAAAATTCGGGATGATACTGCAAAATTATAGGAATTCCTAACCTTGGAGTACTCGGTTGGTTTTGCTGATTTTTCTGCCTCCCCTGACTGTTCTGAGAGAACATAATTCCACATCCATCTGCCTGGAGCAGAACCCAGCATTGATTTTTTTTATTTTTGTTTTTGCTCTTTGTGACCCAGCATGGGGCTGAATGTGATATTATTTTTAGCACTCATATTTCTGCTTCTCTCCCACGAGTTGCAGACTCTGTGTGGCAGCAGCAGAACTGCTTTTAGTGGAACACCTGCCTGATATCCCAGGATTTTTGGGCCTGCAGGTTTTCAGTAGCGCAGTATCCTGCTCACAACATCATGCTTTGCCCCTCCTGCCTGTCTCTGCAGTGTAGAAAAGCCTTTTTAAATTTGATTTTGCACCTTGTGTTGAAGTTCGGTTGTCCTCATCCTACTGTCACCTGGAGCAAGACTGTTCCACCTGTTTTATTTTACACAGCCAATGCTGGTGTTTTGGGGTTTATTTTCCCCCAAGATGTAGTCAGTACACTAGTTTAAACAGGCTTTAAGGCATCCTTGAAAGCCAGCAGGTAAGTAAATTATCTTTTTACTAGAGAAGCTCCAAATCAAATTAGAAAATTACCCTCTGACAGATGACAAAGGCACTTGCCTGCCCAGGCCCCTGAAAACGTAGGTCAGTGTCATAATTGCTTTCCTAAGGGTACCATGGTGTCTAATGATCCCAGGCAGGATTAAATCATGGGAATAATGCTGCACAGTGCTGGAAAAGTAATTAGATCAGGTATGCTTGGGTGACTTTGAGATGTGCCTGAGCGAGGGGGTAATGCAGTTACCTACGAGTCGCTGTGGATGGTTGTGAGGAAGTCACCAGCTCCCCGGGGACTTGGCAGCACACAGGTTTTTGTTGGTTGGCAGCAGGGCCAGGCCAGCTCTCCTATTCATCCCTCCCTGGCACATGGAGCCGTCACCCAAGTCGCACCAATCCCTGCAAAACCAGGGGAAAAACAAGCGGGACAATCTGGGAGAGCTTTGCTTGCCGTTGCCCGGGTGACCGGCTTTTGTGCCCGGACAAACGTCGGCTGCGCTTTTATCGCCTTTTTACGGCGTCTTGAGTGGAACCAAACAAACATCCGAGCGGGAAAACAAGTTGGGAGAGGGGCACAAGGGTGGGACAGAGCAGCCCTGGCCCCTTGGGAGTGACTGGTGTCTCCTTGGGCCAAGGGGCTGCCTGTATTCCTGCCGTGGGGATTCTCTTCCCTGGCCCCGTGCACCCCTCAGCGGTAGCTGCCTGCCAGGAACGCTGTTTCCAAATGCTTCCTTGCAGAGTGCAATCCTGGTGATTAGGGCTAAAGAAGGGACTTGGAATGCAATCAGGAGTCGTGAGTGGGATGGGGAAAGCCTTCCAGTGTGATGTGATTTAATTAAGGTCGTTTAACTGCCCCTTCTACCTCTCTGGGCTGTGGCTCCATCGAGTTCAGAGGGTTGTTTTTACTCTTTTTCCAGGTTTTTAACTAAGGCTGTTCCCTGACTAAGGCACTCTTGAGTCCCTTGCTGTATGTCCTCCTGGGGAGGGCTGGGGTGAGGGTGGCAGCCCCGAGGGGTGACAGAGGGACAGAAGGGACTCCTGCCCGGGCTGGGCTGAGGGGCCTCGAGGGACCAGCAGAGGGCAAAGCTGCTCCAGCCGTTCTGGGCTGCAGGCACAACACAGAGCTGGGGGCACTTCGGCATCCAGTGTGTTGGGCTGTGTTGCTCCCTGGCTGATGGCACAGATAAATGCATATACATCTCCCTTGGGAAAAGGGAAGGTCCAGTTCTCCCACCCTGTGAATAATGGATGGAGCAGGCACAGTTGAATACCTTTTGGCCTTCCTGCTTTTTGCAATTTTCTCCTTTGTTTTTGGTTTGTTTTCCCTCACCGTGGCTGGTGTTTGTTTCCCACATACACTGAAAGGTGGTTCTGATATGAAAATGGGGGGTGTTTCACCTGGTGCTTTGTGTATTTGTTTGAGTGTTTTGGGAATCTAGCTGCTCTCTCAGACCTTGCCCATCTTGTCTGGTGCTCAGTAGGTAACTTCTTAAAAGGTTCAGCCCAGAAAACCTGTTCCATGAGCACAAAGTGTACTTGACCTGTTGGTTCAGGTCTGCCTTTACACCAGAAAGTGATTTTTGGTGTAGAAGCAGAACTGTGGAAAAAACACAGTGAGTCTCTTGAAAAACTTAAGCGAGAGGGAATTAATTTTATTATTATTGATTCATCTTTTCCCTCCCTGAGCTTTTGATGCCCATTCCTTTTCTCTTTGTCACTGGCTGTGGGGATTAAAGGTGAACTCTCTCATGAGCCTCCAGACCATGAGCATACCTGAAACCTTCCTTATCCAGGTCCTTTGCCCTGCTCTTACACCGGTGGAAAAACCAGAATAATATTATTAGAATCAGGGCAAAATATTATTTGGGTGTTGAAGCATGCAGCTGTGCAGCCTATTTGGGCTTACACTGTATCTATAGATGTATTTTTTATAGCCAAATCTCTCTTATAACTATATATAGGTACAGCTGCAGTGGCAGAGTGGGTCATCTGCAGCTTCCAGCAGGGAGACACACGCAGAGCTGTTTTGCAGCTTTTAAGCCTGAATTTGGCACCATCCCCTGTTTCAGGTGTCCTGATTACAGCTCCTGTGCTGCACTTTATATTCCATTTATTATCCAAGTGTTTGGGCACTGCTGGGGACACGTTGCTTGTGGCTGGGTTGGAATCTTGCCTTTAGGGAAGCAGGATGGTGTCTCCCACTCTTCTTAACTCCTACTCTCTTGCTTTGTTGGTTGGGAACTCCATGTTAATTTTGTCCTAAATTGTATATATTATTACATATATATAATCATCCTTTGTGCAAAAGCAACAATTTTAAGGAATATTCAAATACATCACAGCAACTGGTAGCTGGATGGTGCATGCAGAAGAGTGAGCCCTTCCTTAGGGAGCTTCCTGAGGAGCTGTTGTTGGAAAGGGATGGCAGGAGATTCCATAATGAGGAGGAATGACTATGAGAGCTAATGCTCTGTGTGGTCACACTGTATATGAGACAAGAACTTGGGATGTGAGATGGCAGTTTATGGGAGGAAATGGAGGTATTCCTGCTGAAATTGGTGGTGGGCAAGGCTGGGAGAAAGGGAACGTTTTCTGTAATGTTCTCCTGGCATGCTGTGCTGGAAAGACAGCTGGCTTGCCCAGAAAATGTTGTTTCTCTCCATTCTCCCAGAGGGAAGGCTGCTGGAAGGCAGACTGTGTCCTGCTGCGTGGGCAGATGTTAATCAACCTGTCTCACCACGGTGGTTGTGACATGGGCCATCACCACCTCTCCAAATCTCCATGGCTGCCTCATCCAGACAGGTCCTGACCCAGGTTCAAGGGGTTAATTTTGAAAACAATTTT